TTCTCTATTGAATTAATTTCTAACTTATCAAGGATTAATTTCTTATGGTGCTTAACGGTTCAAGTAAGGTTCGTAAGTTTTGTAATCATGGGGTCAAGGTATTGTTTATGATTTTCTTGATTCTTTGGTTCAATAATTCATTGGGTCGAGTTTTTCAAATATTGATTCTTGGCTTTTTTTGGGTTTGATTTAGTTCATTGTGGGTTCATAGCTACAATGGCTACGTAGGTTAGCATCACCTGCACTTGGGGGGCTATTATTATGTCTAATCCAATGTAGGTCTAAAAATGGCCATGTGGTAGCCATGTAATAAACAAATTTAGGCTCACACTCCACATCACTATCATACATGTTTATTTGAGGTCCTTAGGTAGTCAAAGTGATGTACTCCATCGAACCTCTATGTAGAGGCTGAACCATCCATAGATGAGATGAGATGATACGACATGCTGCAACACCAATCTGAAGTGAATAAGCTTAAGCAGACAAAGGTTCTTTCCTATATATCTATCAAGATTTATTATTGATTTATGTAACTCTACAATAGTCACCCTATCAAGCCAATTTATTAATCTACTCTATATATACCAGACTTAAGCCATGGGTGGCTACTTTTTAGAATCATTTAATGTCCCTGAATCTAGGACTCATACAATGACACATATGAATGAGCCATATGCATGGATGTGAGTGGAGCAAGAACTCATTGATCATATCACTCGTACAAAAATTGAGGTTAGCATATTGAGCTATATTTTTTGGAAGGCATTATAGCTTAATTATAAGAACTATGTATCCCAAAATTATTAATTTCCATATTATGTGAGACCTATATGGATTTTCATAATGTATCATATTATAAATTTAGCCCTTGTTTGAACCACATTTTGGGAAAAAAAATTATATTTTGAAATAGTGATTTTTCAGAGAATGTGTGGTTCAAAAAAAAAATTCGATTTAGGTGTAAAATTATTTTATTGGAGAATGCTTAGTTGAAAATAAATTTTTGGAATAATGAGTCTCAAACAAGAGCTTAATAATATTAATTTAGCATCTTATTAATTTGTTAATCAAGTGATTATTAGTCATTTTATACACATCATTATGCACATTATAAATAATATTTTATAACTGTTTAAAAAATTGATGCAGTATTATATTCTTATGACTTTTGATAAGATCAACACCAATGACGTAAATTGTTAGCATACTAAAAAATATCGTGACCAACATTGATTATAGCACAAAAAAAATGGTAGTTTCAATGATCCCATCATAAATCACTATTTTATTCACATCACATTTTAATATTGTCCTTATTAAATTTATTCATTTTAACACTATACATCCACGCTATTTTTATATATATGTCACATCATAATTATTTCAATCATTTCATTTATATTCCATACCATTTTTATATATTTATCTCACCTTGTTTTATATATCCACCCTATCATAATTTATTCATAATCATTGTCATCAATATCCATTATTAAATTTCTTTACTTGTTTTAATAGTTCTAATAGATAGGATAACTATAAATGTTTTCAATTCAGGAATATTAAGGAAAAAAAAAGGATAATCTCAACAGAAAACTCAAATAATTCGAAAATAAAATTTCTTAACTTGAATTCAAGAGGTACATTGTATAAAATTGATGACCGTAAGGACAATTTAAATGTGATTCATCAAATAAACTCCGTGTCAAAATAATCACTCTTTTGGAAACTTTGTTGTGACATTTAGCCCCTTCTTTGAATCACATTCTTCAAAAATTCATTTTCCCCCAAATTATCTGTAATCACACATTTTTCAATTTTACACGTAAATTTAAAATATTTTCCTACTTTTTAACCATACGTTTTTCAAAAAATCACTATTACCAAATCTACTTTTCATTAAAAAAAAAAAAAAAACTTTGAGATGCCCTTTAATAAAGTCAAACTTTGACTTTTATTTATTTATTTATTTTACAAAATAATTTATAATTTTATTTATTTATTTATTTGCATAATTTTTATTTGTCATATCCAGTTTTGTGGATAAATGGAATATCCCAAGAGAATTCTTCATATCAACCTTTGAGATGCCTTTTAACAAAGTCAAACTTTGACATGGATAAATGACCACAGAGCAAGTATTATGTCACAACGTGTACAAAAATAATGGAGTTATAGACATATTAGTCAACTATTAATTAACGTGAACGAAACACTAATCAATTGATTACAATTCTAAGCACGCAAGTAAGCTAGAAAGCTATGTTTATGCTCTTGTTTGTATCCCATTTTTATCAAAAAATATATATATTTTTTTCAATCATATATTTTTCAATAAAATAATATTATACGTAAATAGAAAATATTTCCTTATTTTCAACTATACATTCTTCAAAAAAATCGATATTCAAAAATACATTTTTGACAAAAAAAAAAGAATAATGTTATTTGCAGTCGCTCACTGCTATAGTCGTCCTACGTGACATACACATGGCAGGTGATTATTTGATACATTAATGTTGTAGTTTTTTATTCATTAATCAATCAAATAACCATCTACCATGTGTATGCCACGTAGGACGACTGTCGCAGTGAGCGACTGCAAATAGCATTATTCAAAAAATAAGGGCTCAAACAAGGACTTAAAAAATAATAATAATAATAATAAAATAAAATTGGAATAGATATATAACAATGATGGATATAAATGCTCCCTTATATAATTGCGTTAAAAAAAAACTTTTTGTACTTAAGTGTTGCGATATCAAAGATTGGATTCCTTAGGTATTCAACTGAAATGTGGAGAAAAAAATAATTTTTTTTAAGAATAAATACAATTAAACTTTCTAAAATCAGCGAGTACGTGACAGACACGCTCTTTACTGTTCACATTAGCATATTACTCTCTCCGGCAAGAAACATTGGTTTTGGAAAGTCTTCTCATCCAATGAGAACCGCATGACAGATGCCACGCGCCAAATTTGTTTTTATTAAACTTAGGGCCTGTTTGGAAGGGATTTTTTCACCCAAAAAATTGATTTTTTGACCGTTATTTCACTATTCCAGTCGTCATATTTGACTTCTTCTCTCACAGGTGGATCCCACTTTTCTCCTAATGGTCAAAAATTCAATTCTCAAAATCACTCCCAAACAGGCTCTTAAATTTATTTGTTCTACCTAAGAACGTTAACAAATCGAGTCGAACCATTTCACGAGCCTAAATTTCTTGCTCAGACTCGGCTCGATCTTTTTTAAGGCGGATTCTATTTTGGCTCGAGTCGAGCCGAGCTGAGCAGAGCAAAATCTCGTCCAAAAAATTAAGGCTCGACCCAACTCCTCGAAATGGGGCTTGACCTGAGCCTTGACTCAATGCCTCCGAGCCTCAAGCCAGGCCTGCTTGGACTTTTTCTGAGAGCCATCAGCTGCTTGAGCTAACGAGTTCGATTGCCATCCCTAATTCTACCAAATTTACCTTTTAGTTATCCGTAAAATATTATGTCCTTGTTTAAGCTCATTATTTGATAAAAAAAAAAAAGTATTTATGAAATAGTTAATTGACGAAGAAAGTATAATTAAAACAAATAAAATCAGTTTGCATGTTGTGTCTGCATGTAGTTATTTAACTTGCGAGGTACCAAACAACTGGAGGAACAAATAATCTAATCAAGAATCACAATTTGATATTCTTAAGAGAAATTTGTTCTTTAATAGGTTTTTCCATTTTAATATATTTTACTGGCATTTCATCAATATTGCGTCACAATTGTGTCACTAAAGAATATTGTTCACTTCAAAGTCTTATTAGATTGTCTCGAAAAATCAAACTCAATAACCATCCCGCTTCAATAGTCAAGTCAGAAATTATAAATACAAGGTATATTGGCTGACCATGGAATGAGATGGTCTTGGAAGTATATGTAGAGAAATGGAGTATGGATAATTAAGATGTCATATCACTTGTCTTGTCCTCGTAATTTGTTGTGTCGATGTTCAACGTCACATTACAAACAAGTTGGCTTCGAGGCCTAAAATAATTCGAGAAAAAATTGTCGGTTGAAAAGGACAGAAAAATGTATTTTATAAATAAAGTGATGGCTAAAATGATAAAAATTATTTCCCAATTCAAATAAAAATTATCTCATATTTGTTTAAATAATTTAAACGAATGAAATCTGGAAGTGATAAAATTTATATATGATGAATAGAAACATTCATATGCAGCCTTCCATGCGCGATGGGATCAGGTTTAAAATATCTTTATTTCTTGTTTTAGCCATTTTATTTTTGCTCTTTAAAATAATTTAAATTTTATAGCCTTGAAGCCTAACATTAGTGTTATAAAATGCGCACATATATTTCAATACGAGTAAAGTTCTTGTATAGACCCCTTTGCACAGGGTCTATATAGGAGCTCTCACATGCGGGGTGGACTCCATGTGTGGAGTCCACCCCCATGTGCAGACCTTGTGTAAATGAGTTTGTACGAATAGCACAATTGATTTCAATATCCTTACATATGAAAAGATATGATTAACTAAAAAGAATAATGTGATCTATTATTTAGCTCATGTTTGAGTCACATTATAGGAAAAAAATGTATTATTCATGTCAAATTAAGAGAAAATATGTGGTTAAAAAATAAGGAAAAATTTTAAATTTATATGTAATATTATTTTTTGAAAAATATGTGGCTGAAATGATATCAAATCATTGTCGAAAAATATATTTTTTGTGAAAATAATATGGCTCAAACAAGTCTTTAATGAGCAACATGTGAGATTCTTTTTTCAATTATATTCTTTGTGTTATTGAAAGTTACATAATTTTTTTTTTTTTTTATTTTATTTCCCATTTTAAAGATATATATATTTTAAGGGTTCGCAAATTTTCAATTATAAATTATTCCCAAAAAAAGTTTCATATAAAATATTATTTGAATGAATATATTGCAGAATATGACGTCATATCATCTCACTGCCACTCGCTCTTCACCAATAGGCAATGACCGTGGACACCTCTTTCTTTAAAAATACAGGCACAGAACCGTACTCATTCTCTACCCACTGACTCGGCCGATCACCACCGAGTCAAGCTCAGTCCGGACCTCTAACTCAGCCACTATATATATATTGCATTATATATCATCTCTCGCTGTAAAACAGCTTCTGGAACTCCCCCAAAAATCTAGGCTCCTTTTCCAGAAGATGGGTCTCTCAATTGTTCAAGTATTACTGGTTTCCGCTATTGATTTTTTTTCCCGACTTTTTTGAGTCGGTTAGTTATTTATTTTGGGTTTTTAATTTGGGAACTTATTAGGGGTTTACGAAGTCGTTGGCGATGACTGTGCTATCGGAGATCGGTGACAAGACGTTTTTCGCAGCCGCTGTGAGTTTATTACTTGATTTTAGTTTTTCGATTTGTGAGTATTATTGTGTTTTATCTGGTTTATGATTATTTGGTTTATTTTATTTATTGAGCTGAGTTTGACTGTTGCATTGTGATTCTAAATTGATCTTTTCGCATCCTTTTTATGGGAATTATTGCTGTCTGTGTTTATAATCTACTCGCGTGCAAATTATATATAGAAATTTGGTGATGAAGTAGATTAAAAGAATAGTTTATATTTTCAATTATTATGAGGAAAAGAAATAAGATTTTCTGATCAGAAATTTAACTCTGTTTTTGTTTTCATTGGAAGTAGATAAAATCGGCTACTCCGAAATCATTATATTTGAAGGATCTTTTATCTCTTTGTATTTTTTTGTTTGGTTTTATAATTTGGATTGAATGAGGGAGATGATTTACTTTATTGAATTGAAAGATACATTTTCTTGATCTTCTGTCTGTCATCTAGTGGTGTTGAAAAAAGTTATAATTCTCTCTCTCTTTCTTTTCTAATTGCTTTATGGAGAATACATCCTTTTTTACTTTATATGTAGTGGTGGTTGATAATATCTTTTATTTTTCTGTAACCACTATGAAGAGAAGAATACATCCCTTTCTCTTTATCCCTTAACCGATGAGATAGCTGCTTGACCTAAATTTTCTTAGTGGTATGTGAGAATTGATAATATTAGCCGTACTGAGGTTGACATGACTGATTTACTTCACTTTGTATCCTTTATGTTATAAATATTTATGAGCCTATATTGAATCTCTTCTTAGCGTGTTCCCAAAACACCGTCAACCAAAAAAAGAAATGAAAAGATAAAGAAAGAATAAGATGATCTGATTTAAATCAGTACTGCTATTATTCATAATGGATTCACTGGGGTTTGATATCTTACTTTCATTTCTTAATGCTCTTGAACTTAAGAGTTCTCAACAAACTACTGAGGTAGCCACTAGTTTTCATGCTTCTGTAGGAATTGAGTTTCCTGGATTTTGCTCTGTGATTAGTAACTAGGATGATGATTATCTTCCGTTTGATTTTAAAGTTGACTCATGCAACTTTACGAATTTCAAGAGGGTTGAAGCAGGGGGGACATTCTGTGATGCACTGAATGGAATACAGGGGGAGTGCTCCACAGAGTTCCTTGACTTATCATAAGAGACATCAGTTGATATTCTTGAGGAACGGCGAGTCCAATTAGAAATGCTACTTGGAATTATTGAATTGTATCATATATGATATTAGGATTATGTTTACTCCAATATTATCTTTCCATAGGAGCAGATAAATGTGATAGCATTGTCTTGAGCTAAGGTAGAATCCCTAGAAGTTCTTTGAAGAGAAACAAGGAATATCTTTTTTCATTTTTTTCCCTTTTACCTAGAGGCTAATCAAAGAGAACGGGGTGCATGGTCAAAAATCCATGTGTTCTACCTACCATTGGATATTTGGGCTTCAGGCACTTTTGTGGTTTAACTGATTGCTACAATTGACCTCAGAATGACTTCATTTTGTTATGCTATTATTTTTCATGCTATTGCCTTAGAGCAGGAGCTGAAAACTACCTCATTCTTTTTAGAAATGTGATGATCTTTTTGAGGACTAGAGCTTTTGAGATCTTATTTTTGTCAAATTTCAACCAGACTTCCTTGACACTGGCAAGGCTTTGATGTCTTCTGACAAGATTATTTTTGTTTCTAGATCTTGGCAATGCGTCATCCCAGGAGGCTCGTGTTGTCAGGTTGCCTCGGGGCTTTAATTGTAAGATCTGTGTTTTTCATCCATTAGTTATTCAGTTTACTATCCAATTGCTAATATCTTGAAACATTCAAATAACTCAAAATATAATCTGATTTTTAGATCATGACTATCTTATCTGCTCTTGTTGGCTGGGCAGCTCCTAATCTGGTAAGAGCTATTTTAAATTCATGTTTTCCAAGGGACCTGATGCTGTAAAGATATTGGATATATATTACATTTCTTGAGTTCAATTTGATGTCACACAACCCAATATTTGACAAACTTGAACTTTTGAAATATTTCTCCATGTAAGTTACAATAAAAGAGCTCTTGATAATAGAGATATAGAAAATCTCCCTCCTTAGTTTCTTCCATCAATTTATGACATTCATTTTCTTTTCAGTGGCCCTATTAATCCCTTTATCAATTTATTAAATGCTTGTATTCGTGGTTGATCCTATGCTTCCATTCCAGTAGATCTCAAGTCATTATACATGCTGATGTCATCTAAATGTTCAACCAAGCTTTGTTGTCCTGTGCGTTTACATTGGCAAATGTGGATGCTTTCCAAGCTTGGACAAAGAGTGATACTGCGCAAAATATTTATTTATATTTATATTTGTTTTGCTCAGTGATACACTGCAATTGTAAATTATGTAGATCTCCCGTAAATGGACTCATCACGTCACAACTGTACTGTTTCTGGGATTTGGTTTCTGGTCTCTGTGGGATGCATTTAATGAAGGGTATTGATTTTTCCCTTCTTTTCCTTCATTTGTTGCTTGTTTCAACTTTGCCAGACATAAAACCATCACCTTCAAATGATTTCGTTAGTCATAATATCACGTCAATTTTGTTTCACTTCCCTTACAGGGAAGCAGAAGAATTGGCTGAAGTTGAAGCAAAATTGGTCTGTTTCTTTTCTTTCTTTCTTTTAGGATTTCCCCTTCATTGAATTTGACTTTGCTGATTTTATCTTTTTGGAATGAATAGGGTGGTGATATTAAAATTAATGGTGGATCATCCAAAGAGAACAATAAGGTATGGCATACATCTTTGGCTTTATTTGTTGGTACTATGTATGCTCCACTATCCTTTGCATAGAGATCCATGTGCTAATCGAAAAGAGCAGTTACTTGTTTTTGGATAGAAGTAGTTATGATACTGTTAACAAGTTTATATAATATATTGAGTGCATTACTTTCATTTTCAAATAATAAAACCCTCATTATACTCTGTTATAAGGGTGTATTTTTCCTTTTAACTTTCATTCTGACTTTCTTCATATTGTGCGCATATGGTGTTTTCATAATGAAGAAATCTCATTAGAGACCTATTGAGTTACAGAAAGTTGTATGAAATTATAACTTATAAGCTTAAAATATTGCAAATTTAAAAAATGCGTAGATAAATTTTCGTCGTTGTCTGATGAGAATGTTTGATATTTTTTTGAAATTTTCCAGGATGATGACAATTTGAAGAAGCAAAATCGTCCTGTTCTGGCTCAATTCTTCTCGCCCATCTTGCTGAAGGTTTTCATAATGTTCTGATTAAACTGACCATGTTCAGAATAGATAATATGTAACAAACCTCTAAATTAAATTTCATTCTATTTCTGCAGGCATTTTCTATTACTTTCTTTGGGGAATGGGGTGATAAGAGCCAGGTAAGCACACAACAATCTGGTCGAGTGTCTATGATTACATTGCACATCATCATTTATTGTTGCTTCTTTCCAATCTAACAATCCACAAACTACTTTTCCAGCTCGCAACTATTGGTTTGGCTGCAGATGAGAATCCATTGGGTGTTGTCCTTGGTGGAATCATGTAAGTTTCTTGTGGCTTCAAGTAACCTGGATGAATACCACAAGTCCTTGTCCTCATTTTTCATATCATGCTGATGTTAGTAGTGTCATCCTGTTGTGTGTTATCAACGTCATCTAAAGTTTAGGGACCAAAAAAGTGCCTAAATTTTCTGTATCTCTCTTCACATACACACACGCAAGGGGGAAAAAAATGAGGAGACGTGAAAAGGAAAACAAATTTGTACATGGGTTTGAACATAAACTATGTATTGGAATCAAAAGCCTGCAGCAGAAGCACGTGATGTGTTGAGGACCAGTTTAAGTAGTAATTATATGATATCAAACGATAGATTCATTAAAATGCAAAGTTATATAATTCATTTAATTGAATTTATAAAGTATAGTCGTCTAAATCGGTAGTCCATAATTGTTATTGCTAAATAGCACTACTCAAGATTTAATATAGAAGGCTGACAAATGTTTAGGGCGGGGCATTCAATCAGTTTACGAACTAATGAAGGTCTTTATACTGAAGCCCTTTTTTATTATTTATTTTTGCCATAACCTTAATAGCAGGTTGGTATCACATTATTGAAGGATCACTTTGTCCAAATCATTACATATATTTTGATAGCTTTCAATGATGTTCATGGCCAAGAATTAGAGGATATTGTTGCATTGACCAACATTCCTAAAAGGTTCAATGCCGTTTTGATATTTGGAAATTCCACTTGACGTCGAAAAAGTAAAAATCAACTCATATGATGTGTTCCTTGATAAAATTTTGGCTTACATTTGTGCATGGACAAGATCTTCACTTTCATATGCAGGTAGGGCCAAGTTTATTAGAGCTGTTCTGCAAGGTGTGGAGTGTTTTTGGATCGCTATATTCCCCATCCCATCTACGGTATCCTCAATGATTATTAAACTTTGTCGAGATTTTCTTTTAGGTACTAAAAAACCATTGATTGCTTGGAGTACCATTTGCCTACCAAAGGAGGAGGGCAGCCTTGGTTTTAGAGAAATCAAAAGCTGGAATTTAGCTTTTCTAGCCAAAGTCCTTTGGAATATTCATGCTAAGGACATTTTATGGGTTAAATGGATTAACTAAGTATACCTTCAAGGGAAGGACTTTTTGGAGAAAATGGCAGTAAAAAGTGACTCTCTGTTGCTCAAAAGAATGCTGGAAATTATAGACGTCATTGCTGGGAATTATGGGGCTACCCATAGTGCTGAAAACATGCTATCCAACTAGAATAGTGCTAGTCATTTTTGCGTCCATGCTGCCTATGAGCATTTTCGGCCGAAGGGAGAAAAGAAAGTTTGGAGATCTTTTATCACTCCAAAACATGCATTTATCTTATGGTTGGGTACTCAATTGAAGCTACTCATTAAGGATCGGTTGTTGTATCTCAATATTGACAAAAATTATGTTTTCTGTGGGACACATTTGGAAATGAGACAGCATTTATTTTTTCAATGGTTGTTCACCTCTAGCATATGGATGAAGATTAAAGCTTGGATGGGGATTAGAAATTCGATGACTACAATTCAAAGTGCTTTGAAGTGCTTCAATAAAGAAGCCCGAGAGACATCTCAATAAAATAAATCTAAAAGAATTACACTTGCTAGTACCGCTTACCATATTTGAATAGCACGAAATAGGACAATTTTTGAGGAACTTAGTCCGAATGTGAAGAGCATAGGTAAACGAATTAAAACACATGTACAAAGTTATGTTTCCTTTATATCCACATGTATTTGATTCATTTTTAATCTTTGGCTTTGGTATTATAGTGCATATTGTTTGTACATCTTTTTCTTTTTGTTTGTCCGAGTATGCTCGATATACTTATATATGAATTTTGATCTATAGTAATTGATAAAGCCGAGCTACAAGTACGGGGACCTACTTCACAAGCCCTTACCAGGCAAGACGCATTGGGGTCGGGCCCCACAATTTTTTTAAGTACATGGGGTCCCACCTCTACACAGCGAGGGACTTGTGAGGTTCCTGTAACGTGCAGCCTTGTTCTAATTAATATTTACCAAAAAAAAAAAAAAATCTTAAATTTCAAAAAATTATGCTACATATACAAGGTGATTTGTCAAATAGTTTGACAAAATGTCAATAGACAACACCACGTTGATCTATTTAAATCTATTTTTTGTCCAACATCCAGGCATTCTGACATTCTCCCTGGCAAACTATTTGCTACTGTCACTGTTATGGGGTGTATTAGTATAGTTGTGCTACGTGAGAGTACTACAACATCGTCTTTAAGCTGATTATTGGATTTTCTGGCAAGAGCCTAAAAGTTGTAAATATCACACGAAATTTGACGATCCAGGGTTATCAATAACGAGCCATTATCCTAGCCACTTGGATTTACAAACATTTATCCATTACAAAATCCAGAAACTCATGTTAAAAACACCTGGATAAAATTAAACATCCTTTTTTTTATCTGTATAATCGCCACATGTAATCAAGAACAGCCATTTTCCAAATATATAATATAAAGTAAGGTTCTGCTGAAATAAATCAATCAGTACTCTATACAGAGACTAGTCAGTTCATAAAGGCTCCTCCAGGCATACTCGGTTGCCCTTGTGATGAAACTTGTCCCTGAGCTAATAGCTGTGATCGTCCCCCGCCTTGAATATAAGCTTGATTCATCCCTGTTCCCACCATCGGCTGTGGCTGTTGCTGTTGCTGTTGCTGTAGCTGTAGCTGTGACATCTGCTGCTGCTGTGGCTGCGGCTGCTGTAGCTGTGGAATCTGCTGCTGCTGCTGCTGTAGCTGTGGAATTTGCTGCTGCATAAGAGGTTGTTGTTGTTGAAGCTGTGCAAGGGGTTGCTGTTGCTGAAGCTGTGGATGCTGTTGCGGTTGCAGTTGCTGTTGCTGCTGACTCGATATCTGTGGCTTAAATACAACCATATCCTGAAAACCGGAAGGAATTATCAATACGTAGGCTTCACTCAGAGACAATGAGACCAAATGGAAAACAAGTATAAAGATATTCACTGTCTACATCTTTAGAAAAGTGAAAACATGAAAGCAACATATTACCCCAGGGAAAAGCATTCCAATCAAACGACATGCCTTATCGGAAACTGAGAGCAGCAATGTCTGTGATGGTAACTGTATAACTGCACACTAAAAATTTCCGAACAAAGAAAAACACAAGGAATTCTTGTCAGACTATCAATAGCACAAATTTGAACAAAGACATACTACATCAAGATAAGTTTCAAGGAAATAAGTTGAAAAAATAGAGAGATGGTATGCTGTCCCACGTCCCTTTCACAGTCATACTGAACCTAGCCTCACCCTAATTAGTGCTCATTTCTCGGGTGGGAGGGAAGAGAAGAGTTGATGACATCCATATTCAAAACTTTTCCTCTTGGTGGTTGACTGAGCATTAATTATTCCGCTTTAAATTTTTGTGTTTTCAAGCTGTTAAAGCAACAAAACTTGCAGAATTTTGTTTGTTAAATCAGCAGACTATAATTATTTGGTTGCCTATTTCCGTCCTCTCTTAATACCCTGCCCCCACCCACCCATACACGCACCAAGTACCCCAGAATCTTTGTTTCCTGCAGTTACTTTTAGTGAGCCCCCTGAGCTTCCAAAGTTGATATCAAAAGGTCCACAACTACTTGCGGGATGCTAAAAAGCTCCAATACATGTGTTAAGGAAATAAATATATTAGAATAACATAGATTAGGGGAGTGTATAATTGGGTTTATTTTGTTTCCATATTTGTATCTATTTCCATAAGTGTACTCATGATTTCTCTATATAATGAAAGTGAAGGAAAGGAAGAAATCTACCTTCTCTCCAGTGTTTAAACCAACATTTGTCTCAACATGGTATCAGAGTAATGTGCCTAGGGTTTTTAGTCTGCATCTGTGTTTGTTCTACATCTACAGCCTGACCAAATTTGAAGGGTGCATCCAAGTCGTCTGTGTCTGCATCTGCCGCCTACTATTTTTGATAACTCTAATTCAATATCAGAATTTGAGTTCTTAGCTCATAAATAGGCCACTTCCACTTCTATGGCCACTCTCGCTCACTCTGGTACTAATCTTCTCTCTGTCTATTATCATCATCTCACAATCCATGGATTATCGATGCCGGAACAACTGAAACATATGACTGGTTCTAATTATCATCCTATTATTCCTTCCAAATATGTAACTCTTGCTAACGGTTCTTGAACTAGTTTGCAGGCTCGGACAATGCCCATCTTAGTCCTAATCTTGATCTGTTAGCCGTCCTTCATGTTCCTGGCTTTCCCTTTAGTTTATTGTCTATTAGTAGAATTATCACAACTCTTCAATATTCTGTAACCTTTTATCCTTTTGTGTATTTTTTAGGATATCAAAGCGAAGAGAATAATTGGTCTGTGACATAAAGTTGGTAGCTTGTATTAACTAGATCTATCACCAGTCTCCTCTTCAAGCTCTCCAATCGTCTGTTTCACCTATGCAGTGACATTACCATCTTGATCATCCTTCTCTTTCTACTTTAAAACGTCAATTTGTGAGTTTTCATAATGTACCCTTTCTTGAATGTAAAGCATGTCAACTTAGCAAACATCGCGTCTTTTCCTAACTGTTAATCGTACTTCCAGTTTATTTGAGATAATTCATTATAATGTATGGGAACCAATCAATATTTCCTAGAATAAATTTCAATATTTTGTCACTTGTGGATGATAATTATCATATGACTTGGTTGTTCTTAATAAAAAATTGTTTTGAGTTACTTTCTATTTTTCAAGTTTTTCGTATTTTGATCAAAAATCAATTTAACCAAAAAATTCATATTTTGCGATCCGATAATGCCAAAGAATATGTCTGCTTCTTTTGCGTCCTATCTCTCTTCCAAAAGCATTATCCATCAAGCTTCTTGTGCATATACTCCACAACAAAATGGAGTTGCAAAACGCAAGAATCGTCATTTGTTATAAGTTACTCATGTTCTTTATTATATGCATGTCCCTAAACTTTTTGGAGTGATGTTGTCCTTACTGCATGCTATCTAATTAATCACATAACATCCTCTGTTTTGGATGGTGCATCACCATTCTCTCTTTTGTTTTCCTCATTTCCATGGTAATCGTTACCTCTCAAGGTTTTTGAGTGTGTTCGTTATGTTCATCATTTTGGTCCAGGTCATAACAAGCTTGACTCCCGCTCCATGAAATGTATTTTCCTTGGTCATTTGCAAACACATAAGGGGTATTGGTGCTATAATCCTTCTCTACAACGCTAATTTATAGGTGTAAATGACACTTTCGACGAGCCAACTATTTCTTCGATCATAAAACGTCTCCCGACTCCAAACGAGATCTCGTTCGCTTATCCATCCCATATCCACCAGTAGGTATTTCTCCATAATCAGACTCGTCCTCATCTACTACATCATAGTTGTCCTCTCAGGAAGAACCTCATCCTTAGAGGTGGGCGCGGGTCGGGTCGGATCAGTTCGGTTCTCCAAAATTTTCGAGTATTTAGTAGATGGAACCTTTGGGTCCAAATATAATTATGGAACCGCTCGAGTTCGGTTCCGTTCGGTTCAGTTCGGTTCTATTCGATTCCGTACTATAATTAAATTTTTTAACATTTATAACAACATTATATAAATACAACTAATGACACATTCAATAGTTTTGGAATGTCAGAGACTAGTAGACTACCTTGTTCAGATGATTGCTACGGTCAAAGCTTTGGTCGGCGAAGGTCATAGGGTCGGCCGGTGATTGTACAGGTTTTGGAATGTCAGTGAGGCTGCGAGAGTGAATGTGAGAGACGAGACAGCGTTATGCACTTTAGTATAGGTGTTTAGGATTATTTAGTGGGTTGAATCTTTTTAGGCTAAGAAATGAAACAATAAAATGGGTAATTGGGTAAAAAAAATTAAAAAATTAGAAATGAAACAAATTATTGGGCAAAAAATTTGGATTTAGAAATTGTTAATTTGTTTAGAAAAAATTAAAATTAAAATAATTTGATTTATTCAATATAAAAAATAAAATTAGAAAGATTCGGCTCTTATTCTGTTTTTGGGTTCGGTTCGGGAGATTTGCCTAGCCCTACTCATCCTTTTCAAGTTTATTCTTGACGATCTAAGCCATCAATGCTTATGACTCCATCCGTCATCTTGTTGTCTATAGATCATGAATTGTCGTCTGTTCTAATCCTGAGTCGTTACCATTGCTTTTTGTAAAGGGAAACGTAATTGTGTAACTAAACGTCCTATTAGTCACTACGTCACTTTTGAATCGTTATCACCTTCGTTTTCTTATTTCATATCCCAACTTTCGAGTGTTTTTGTTCTTGAGACTGACAGAAGCTTTATTTGATCCTAGGTGGTGAAAGGCTATGAGATTAAAAGTGACTGCCTTGCACGAGAATAAGACTTGAGATCTCGTTCCTTCATCACCTGGAATACATCATGTTGGTAATAGA